TGTCCCTCTTTGTCACTGTTATTTCTAGTTAAAATGTGAATTGTTATTCTGCCATGTTTAATTATTTATATTAAACAGTTACTATTTTCCTATAGTTTATTTCCATAGTATTAAACTGTTGCCATTCAAAGTAAGGCAAGATTATAGAATAAATTAACTAGGCTTATCATGTTTAATGTTAACATTAACTAGACATATGCTACTCTCAAGAATCATACTATTTAACCAATTTTTATCTACAAATTGTGAGTACACAAACAGTAAGAATAATAATACAACTTAACATGCAACCTTCATTGTAACCAGGGAGAAAGCTCTCTTCTGATTGGTTGGCTGTTAAAAGAACGTCACGCTTCAGCGTATCACAGCCTATCTTTGCAGTTATGCCCTTTTGCCTTGGGAATTTACTGAAAATTGTGTAGTTATGCCCTTTTGCCATGCCCCTATCTAGCCCGGGGGACACTTTTTTACAATTGTTTTTGTGTCAACATGTGTAACATGATGTACTGACCCCACTAGGCTATATAACTCATTTTCGCCAAAAATGTCAGTTATGCCCTTTTGATATGGTGGGGGGGGGGCAGTATTGGGTTGCTGTTGGTTGTAATTATTATAGTGTACAAATATTGACTGCTCATGAGGGGAATGGTGAAATCTATTGGCCCTCGGAGATGTAAAGATCGTAGCCTATCTTCGGCCCTCGAGGAAATATTATAGGCCACGGTAGGGGTGGGCATAAAAATTGGTCGGAGGGCCACAGTGAATTTTTGACCCAAACTTTGATGTTTCCGGTGTGCTTCCAAAAACCTTCATATACTGCTTTTACACCACTTCATTCTCAGTTTAAATACTACTTTTTAGAAATTGTCAGTGTTGGGCTCTACAAAACCAAGGTGTTTACTAGCCAAAGATGTTTGGCGGGCTGCACATACAAGGTTTTTGCGGCCCGCTCCTTGCCCACCTGTGGGCTATGGTTTCCACGTCACCGAGGGGCAAAAGATTTCACTGTTCCCAGAATCTAGAACAGTCAATATTTGTTCCATATGCCCCATACATAGACTCTAAGAGGCTTAAAAAGTACTTACTTCCTAGCCTAGCCTAGAGTCCTTCTAACTAGGGCCTAGTCGATCAAAAAGTGTGTCTAGCTCTTCTTTGCTCATTTCCTCAATTTTAACCCATATTTGTCTTTTGATGCTTTTGCTATTGGTTTCTTCAAGAATTACAGGTCTAGGCTAGTACTTCTTCATCCAGGAGCTTTAACCAACAGCCTCCATAATTATCGTTTATTGTCTACTCATTGATCCGTGGAGCGGTCAAGGGCCAATCTCTTTCGTCATAGAGGTCGCAGACCCCTCTTCCGTCAGCGCGATGGTTGGGCCTAGAGTTTGCACCACGTGACAGGTCAAAAAAGTACTATTTTTAAAGCGAATAGTATTAGTAGATGTTACGGTAAAATCGTATATAAATGGCCTATAACGTCATAAAAAATTACCAAAAAACGATTTTAAGGTTGATTCTATTATTAATGGCATATCAAAAATCCCCTCTAGAACAAAAAATCATTTTGCTAGTTCTCTTTAAAGCACCTCAACATTTACATGAGGTGTTCTATTCTATGCTGGTACTCATCATCGTCTGTTCATCATCTGGACAAGTGTGTTTTATGCACTATATTAATATAGTCTACCTACTTTTGTTTTCTCTATGTAGGTATTCAACGTTTTGTGACCAAACCGCTGGATGTCATTCATCTGCTCCCACAATTGCACGATTTTCACATGAAATTTTGGAACTGCCACTGATATCAAGCACTTGTAGTTGATGAATTTTTGTAATTATGTTGAGTAGAACAAAATATGACAGATAAAAGAATTGTAAAAGAGCAGTAGTTGATCACTAAGATTTAAATAGATTTTTGGAGAAGTATCAAATACTTTACGTTCCAACATTTTGCCTGTATCACCAACAATATTTTTTAAGAGACAACCTTGGTTTGGTGTCTCTGGATGTTTTCCATCATTAATTGATTGTGATTGATGGAATTTGGGTTTGCCAGCCACCTCTTTCAATATGAAATGTGTGAACCCATTTATTTTGATTCATATGTTTTGATACAACTCCCAGTCACCCAAAGTTACATCATTGGTGCATGAACCAACATTCACTGTTGAGATTTGTTTGTATTGCAAACATTAAAAATATTCTTACTTTTCTTTAACCTAAGATTATCAGATTCAGGAAAGAAAATAATACAGTAACTGTTAATTTCAACTTTATATCCATTTTATCATACTAAATTTATGGAAAAATATCTATTTGTGAAAACTGTGATATTTGGAGAGTTCTAGATAGTTTGGTGCAACGCATGATCATCAAAACATGTAGGCAGATATGTAGTGGTTAAAAATTGTAAGGAGTAGAGTTTTACTTTATTTTAATGCGAGGACTGAACTTCCGACTTGGAGCAATAAAGTGTATCTTGTCTTATCTTATCTTATCTTTCGTTCTATGTGGTTCTCAACTTTTTGCATTTGCGGATCCCTTTGGACATGTTAACGTCTTGACAGACCCATATCGAAGCATTACTCTTTGTTGATATTTCAACAATAAGATTATAGATAGAAGGTTGATTCGCCACAAAAGTACAACATTAAACAGCGCAAGATTTTGGAAACTGAGGTACGAAATGTCTATTGCACTTCTGATGGCTGGAAACGGCACTATCGCACTCAAAATTTGAATGATATTTTCTTTTATACCCCATTTATTTTTAATTTTGTAAAATTTAGGGCCTTCGCCCCTCCTGATTTCACTTATGTTAAATGGTATTTGATTAATGATGATGCACCTAATGATTAGCAATAAGATGATTAGTACACCATTGCAAGATAAGAAAGTTAATGTAATCATGAAAAATTGGTTTAAAAATCTAGTGGACCCCAACATTTTTCAGGCATGCCCAATTATTTTTTGTGAATCTCTAAGAAATTTGCATACCCCAGGTTAGAAACTATTGATTTTAACAGTACTCACCTCCAAACAAACACAAACAGCAACTTTTAAAACATACTCTGAATGAATGTATATTTTGTTTAGTGTGGCATGATGAGAATCAGCCATCATATTTATTTTATTTATCAGCCATGAAATCTAGCATTTAGAGTTAAAACATATTATTGTAGAAATTTTTAGAAAAGCATGGCCATGGTGTGTGTATGTATGTACTGTATGTTCTAATGTGGATACATGATCAATAATTGTAATACTGTATATTTAATATGGATAATGTAGTTATTGGGTGCCCAGATTATTTTCTTAATGGTTATGATAGATGAAAACTCTTGAATGTAATACAGAATGTCACATAGATCGTTAGTGGAAAATACGTTTTTTAAAGGATTGTGTGTGTATCTTAGTTTATGGAAACTACTGTGGGCCAAATCAAATATCTAATGTGGATACTAGAACAGCACATTTGTGTCTAGGAGAATATATTGTTTGTTATTACTCTACAATTTAACCTAGTATTTTTTTGTTGGCTCTTATTAAAATAATTTATCGTTTTATGTATTATTTTATCCATGATTGGTTGTGATGCTATGTAGCAGAGATTTGAATAAACTGTACACCTTGTGTAACAATAACATCAGTTTTTAGCAGTACTGTACTGTACTTATTATTGGCTCTCAAAAGCAATTCATGTTTTATATTAAATATTAAACAAAAGACAATCAATTTTTTTTCCCATATATTTTTGACAAATAATGTACATTTTATCATTTTGATATTTGTGATATTTTAATTTGTTGCAGGGAACCACCAGATAGTTGATTCAGTGGCGTAACGAAAAGGCCAAAGGCCCCTGGGCACAGGCCCTTTGGGGGCCTGGCACTGTGGTTGCTCCGGCGTTTTTAGCATTCTATGACGTATTTGAATGTATTTTTTACACATTCGAATTCTAAGTTTATGTATCGTGATTTTACCCCAATAAAAGCATACTTAATTCTAAGATATCACTAATAAACATATTATAATAAATATCCAACAAACAAGAAATTAAAATCCATATATTTCTTGGACATTTATTTTAATAAAACATAGACTAGTGATAGTGATGATAATAAAAATGCCCCAATCACTCAGCAGACTTTGGCTTGAAAAAAGGGCCTTGCTTATTTGTTTGTAAAAAAAAAAATTGAATTTGCTCCTTGGGCCCCGGGGCCCCTGGCCTTAGCCAGTGAGAGCTCAGAGCTGTTACATCACTGAGTTGATTTACTGTCTTTATGTATTATGCATATTAAAATTAAAAAAAAAAACAAAAACAAAAAAAAAAAAACATCTAGCGTTGAAAACTACAGTGGATAATATACAAAATGTTCCTGTTTCAAACACGACCATTGACTGTTGGGTCAAGATGCAATCTAGCTGCTATTTTTTATTTAAAAACTTCTTGTACCTTTTCTGTGCTCTGGGCTTTTCCTCTCGATTGGCGCTGCTCGAGACCACTTAGACATTTTCTTCAGTTATGCATTCAAATTTTCAAAGGTTGGTAAGTATGTGTTGTGGAAGAGAGACAGCAAAAATAGACGGAGAAAATTAGTGTGGACATTGGAAGTAATATCGCAGAATTCCATAGAACTTTCCATAGTGCCACACAAGTTTGATCCAATTACAGACATACAGGGATGGAGAAAAATACCCTGGACAAACCATTATATGTGTTGCATAAAATTTCCACTTTGATTATCATCAGTGGCCATGCGGATTGCAAACCAGTGAGTGGGGATGGGGTGATAGTAATCGGTGTTTGATCATAGACACTGGTACATGGAATTTAAATGGAAAATTGGCTTATTTTTGAGAACCATGCTCCCCTCTTTTCCCTTTCTTATCTATTCTTCTCTTTTTTCCCTTTCCCCATGCCAGGCCCATGCTCACGCTTGGCTCCCCATATTGTTAGGTAAAATATATTTACTGAAACAAAAAAATGAAAACCTTGATTGTATATCAATAATTGTCCTTTATTCATACGAAAAATAGAATAGTTTACTGAAATTATAACATGTAAATGTATACTGTACTAAATAAAAAATAGTTTAAAACATTTATGCAATCATCATGGAAACAATGATTGTACACTAATATTACACTAATAATTGTCCTATATTCATCACAAATGAAACACACTGCAAGCGGTCTATTAGAGTGGCCGAGGGGCCGGTTCATTCCAGCTCATTGTGGAATGATGTGAACATGAAATTACCAAGTACTGTATCTTTCTACAGATGGTACAGTAGTCACCTCCCACAACTGTAAGCAATTCAGCACAATGACACTCGGAGTTAATGATTATTGTCCTACCTTTATCTACTTTCAATCAGTTTTGATGGTCATAGCACCAGAGCATCACATTTTTCGAAGAACAAAAATGACACTTTTTTATTATTAAGCACCAAACTCAAATCACAATAATATATTTGTTTAAAAATATGACCAATTCTGAAATTGGAAAATTCTGCACAAGGTCTAACACTGAGAATAGTTGTAAATTTCTTATGACCAATTACAAAAAAAAAATTCTTAATAGTGTATCATCATCTAATGGCTGTGTTTGACATTATTGTCACGTCCATCATACATAGAAGGTAGTCAAAATATTGAATGTTTGCAAGGGGAGTAAAATAATAAATCATTTTTATTAATATAAGCTAGCAGTCGGCGTATCATCCTCCACATACCCTAGATGGCAAGGAACAACAGATAAAGTATCCTACCCAAGTACCAACAAGTGTCCGGCCTCATGATGCGGACATTTAGTTTGGAAGCCCAAAACGCAAGTGCTGCACCCAACTCATTTCAGACACTAATAATTAAACATAATCTTCTGTCACTGATCCTTTTAGGTTAAGCTAAAAAACTAAAAAATAAACTTCAATGTTTTAATTGAGTGTATTATTTGTTATATGTTTAGCACACTTTGGAATGTATAATATTATGGAAATATTTAAAATATTTGTGAACATAATGTTTGGAGTATAAAACTGGCACCTCAATAGAACAGTCAGGTCACTGTATGTGTTAATATGAAGTTTATTTCTTCTTCTGTCTCTTCACTTCTTGATAATCTTCGCTATCCTCAACAAGCTTGTTATGCACGTACATCAAACCTTTAAAGTACTTGACTGTTTTTACTCGTAGTTCTAGTGTGGCATCCTCATCGCAGACAAATATTGTACGTGGATGTTGCTGGAATGCGGATACTGTCCACATGTGACTGATACCTTCCTCAATTGCTTTGTATAATGCAAAAGACTTGTGAGCACCTGTGATTATTATCATCACCTGTAAAATAATATTTGATTATGATTATTAATATGTTGATGTTGAAGCACAGGTGTTAATTGGTATACTTTCCCTTCCTGTTTGAGGAGCCAAGGTCCTACTGAGTTTAATATGGTTAAACCTACTGTACCTTTGAGGGCAAATGTCGAGCAGATATGGTTATATTCTATGGGCTCCGCTAACGCTCTTTCTCTTTGTGATAAAGGGTGATAAAGGGGTGGATTCCTGGGGGCCAGGGTGTTGCAAAGTGATTGTATTGCTCCAAAGTGTTCTTACCTATTTAAGCCCTGCTTGAAACAGAGTAATGGAGATAAGCTACCACAGGGCTCCTAGTCCCGAGACTACATAAAACAAGGTATACAAAACAACACAAAAACACAAACTCACAAAACATTCTCATACCAAATAAGTGACAGGCACTATAAATTTACCAATTTTGAATAGTGTCAATACAAAAATGGTCTCATGTAGGAAGGGATGTCCACACTCCACACTGTTTTACCTCATATTCACTAAGCGTGATGATAATAAGTTTTTTAAAAATGTATGGTGCTGTATAAAAAACTGTCAAGATTATTTATTTTAGGCAAGTTGAGTTGCCGAGTGGTAAGGCAGAGGCACTGCTAACTACAGTCTTAACATTGGTGCTGGTTTGAGGTGGTTCTTGCTTGAGCTTTTGGAAAAATCAGGAGGTTTAATTTACACATCTGTCTTGTGTTCTTGTGTTATTTAAAATATTTAATCCTGTTACTTATATATAAATACAAGACTAAATATTTTAAATAATGAACAAAAAACTATAAACATTGCTACAATATATGTCATAAGATCACTTTCTATTCTTTAAAATTTTTGAATTTAATTTTCTTTGTACAGTATACGTATTTCAATTTGATTTTTTAAATTTATATTTCTTCATTTTCTTTGGCTCCACGCCCAAATGAAAAGTGCAATAACACTGCAAATTATGGGTTATTCTTATACCTTTACCTTGGTATAATTTTGTTAGTGCTACACTAATAATAGTATTACGTACTTGCAATTTTCATGATTATTTATATAACTAAAAGTAAAACTATAATGACGAGGGAAAAGGTGGAAAAATGCTAAGAGTCAAGAGAATAACGGTTAAATCAAACTCTCATTTTGCAGGAAAGAGCAGGCATGATCTTTTTCCAAACTGTGTACACTAACCTCTCTTGCATCCATAACAGTTCCAACACCAACAGTCAATGCCATGGTAGGTACTTTTGAAATATCTCCACCAAAGAACCGGGAGTTAGCAATAATGGTGTCTTGAGCTAGAGTTTTAACACGTGTCCGAGACACCAGACTTGATCCAGGCTCATTAAATGCTATGTGTCCATCTGGCCCAATTCCTGAAAGAAGTGCATATCTAGAATTGAATAATAGTAAATGATAATTGAATAAAATGATAATGTTAATAAAAATGATAAAAACATTAATAATCCGAATAATTTTAATATCAATAATACTAATAACAATACTAATTAAAAGCCAGTTTCAGGACCAGGGTTGTCACTGTCTCTTATACACATCTAGATGTGTATAAGAGACAGCTATGAAACAATTGTAAGAATTACCTACCAACATACTCATCCATGTTGAATGTCTTAACATACTTGAATGACAAGACTCCATTTTTGACAAATTCAATTAAGACTTGATACATTCCTTTAGGAGTACTTCCTAAATTATAAATAAAACCAAAAGTTTAATAAACAAGACATACAAGTACATTTTGTTCTTTTAATGTTTGACTAGACATGCTTGATAGAGTATGGATTGGATTGGATTTATTCGGTGTAAACACCAAGGATAGCTCACGAAAGTCTAGAAGAACACTTATTTCCAGTGGGCTCCTTCTGGTGGTGATTGGGCAGTACACCAGGAGATAATCCCCTAATCTTTTCCGAAGAGTGTACTGCGTTCTTAAACGAGCACATGGGCCATAAATGCACACAGGACCAACAGCTTAAACATCTCATCCGAAAGATGGTGCGCTATTGTAACTTGTATTTCAGCCCTTCAGCTGAAACACAAGGAGAGGCAGCATTGGGAATTGAACTGGAGATCTCCACGGTTCAGCGCACAAAAAGTGGCTACCACCTAATCAGAGAATTATCTAAATTAAATCAAAAGGACAGCTCAGTCAGCTGAACTAGTAGTAACCACTGTGTGTGTACTGAACTGTGGAGATCTCAATCTCGTTCCCTTATCTTTCAATTCTTTGATTGCAAAATATGAAAACAAACTACTACAACTTCATTATTCGCAACATTTACTTTTTTCAGTTAAGTAATATTTGATCATTCACCTAGTTCACATGTACAACATTCCCTACCCATTTTTCAGCCACCAACATCCCAGGTCCTCCTGTGCCCACCCAGAACATCTTGTACTGGGTTGTTCTTGCCTTGTATCATCCTGGCAGAAGCCCCTCCCCAACCGACTTCCTGCAGACAGCAAACATCAACTTTTGTCTACTCATACTAGTCTCAACAATCTCTCCTGATCTACTACACTGTACCCATATATAGGGTTCCCACCCACATCATCTAAATGTTGGATGACTGTAGGAGTGGTATGGACTCACCTATGCATCACCCAAAATTGATTAAATAAGCCTATGAAACACCATAATTCACCATAAATTATAATTTAGGAGATCTGCACAAACCTGTTGGTAAGCCAAGTGTGAAATACCTATCAGGTCCAGGATTGAATTCCAGTATGCGATTGCGGACATACTTAGCAGCCCATTCACTTGCTTTGTCATAGCTGTCCAAGATGACGAGACGCATGATGATAAATCTGCTGGCAGAGGTACATATTATTCTTTAGAATTATAACAGAAAAATATTTTATGATTGATTTAACAAATTAACATGTTTGAAATATTAACAGAATGAAAAGAATTAAACGATTACTTGCGATAGAAATGGTTAAACAAATTAATAAGTTATAAGATAAGAATGTTTTAGATATGTAGGAGAACATTAAATAAATCCCTAGAAAATTATTCAAAAATAAAAGATCATTAAGTTATAATACATTGAAAAAAAATATACAATTAAAGGATTTATTATGTTGAAATGATTATTCAAATATTTAATAGGCCTAGCATGGGTGGGCCTAAAAAATTGTCACCAATACAGACAATTATGCATAGTCTTGGCAATGGTTTTCATCTGTGTTGGTCCGCGCTAAGCGCTGACCCAGAGCCTCACTGCTGTTCTTGTTCTTGTTACCAAAACTTTAAAAACATCCAGCATCGCCAGTTTTGAACGGAAGTGCATGAAATATGTACACATAAACTAGAGGTGATTTCCAACAAACGTTCATAGCCCTTTTTTTAAGTTGGACCCCAAAGTTCCTCCTACGCATACAAAACAAAAACGGGAGTTTTAAACTTAAAAAGTGTCCAGTGTCGCTAGCTTTGAACAGACTTGCAGGAAATTTTGTACACACAAACTAGAGAGGATTTCCAACAAACGTTCATCGCCCTTTTTGTAAGTTGGACTCAGGGTCCCCCTACACCTACAAAACAAAACAAGGGATTCAGCAAGAACTGTACATTACTGCCATTTACCACAATAGTGCACGTTGTATGAATGGCGTGGTTGGTTAAGGATGTGTTCTAAAAAACTTAAGGTCATGAGTTTGAATCGCGTATTTAGCAAGTTTGAATCGCGTATTTAGCAAGTTTGAATCGCGTATATTTATTTTTTCATTATTTATTTTTTCATTCATTAACAGTTCTCATTCATGTTAAAAAAGAAAATTAACACCGAGGCGCAACTCAAACTTGCGACCTTTGGTCCCATCAGTACTACACATCATTGATTAACTGTGACATCCATACTGTAGTAATAATATAAGACACATCGCATGGATGCTGCGGTCAGTTAAGGAAATGTTCTAAAAAACTTAAGGTCGTGAGTTCGAATCGCATATTTAGCAAGTTCGAATAGTGTATTTAATTTTTTTTTTTCATTTTGTCAAACAGTTCTCATTCATGTTTATTAAAAAAGGAAATTAACACAGAGGCGCAATTCAAACTCGCGACCTTCAGTTAAGGATGTGTTCTAAAGAACTTAAGATCATGAGTTCGAAACTCTTCTTGGTATTCAATTTTTTTTTTCAATTTTAAGTATTTTAATTTTCTACAAATGATCATTCTAAATGTTTTTTTTTCTTGTACAAATAAACATTCTAATTATTTAAAAATTACTGTAAATTATTGCCATTACCACTAAAGCCTGGTTTCCTGTTGACGTAAAGGTCAGAATTTCTTACGTTTCATACGTTTCTTACGCAAAGTTGAAATAATGCCGACGTCAACGACGTTTGCGTTGATCGTGTTGGGCCGCAGATAAACAAGCAATTTTCAGCCGCTTACGAAAGTTGAACTTACGACGTTGAACTCCATCCAGTGTCCAAAACGAGCGCTTGCGACTGTTACGTTGAGTTGAATTTTTCTTGCAATACGACATAAAAATGACGTCATTTGTAGTCACTTACGATTGGCTGCCTTTCCCACTAATCCGTCCTTGTTACCCAGGGTTTTCGCGCGAATGTAGGCCTCTACCTCTTTATATTATGAGCTGCACTGTAAATGTTAGCTCAACATGGATTATTGTAAAGAAGTTAGGCCTACATTATTAAAGTACAAGAAGGCCTATTTGATGTTTGTAAAATTAATTTTGTTTCACAAAACAATGATGTTTCGAACATTCCCTGAACATTCGTGTTTCATACATTTTAATTCTGGGAAACTTAATTAATTGGCCACGGCCTCAAGGTGCTTGTCACCCAATCTATTTTGAGAGAAAGATTAGGACAAAAAAAAATCGGTACGCGGGAAAGTTGGATGGGTGGTATACTTTAGCCCTAATTGACAAAATAGATATAAAACAGTCCATACTCCTGCTGTATAAATGGCCCCCTTGGTTGCAGTATTATATTATTATACCATCATTGTCGTCATTACCATAATCAAACGGTGCTGCTGAGCTAGTGCTCCACTGGCATGTAGGCCTATTTGTGTGTAACTACATTTTATAAACCCCGGGTTTTAAGAACACTCATGGGACTGCTGAATTTGCTTTCAAAAATAAGAACAAATTGAGGTAAAATTTCAAATGCGATAATTATGTTCTTTTTTTAATCTCGAAAAAATATTTTAGTCTTATTTTTACATAGGCACAGTAGGTGTGACAATGATGA